GACGGGGGGGGGGGGGGGGGGGGGGGGGATCAGTGTGCTCACAGCCTTGAGCTGTGAAGCTGCCTACTAAGTGAACAGCTCATGCAATTTAACTCCCTTCTTCCTGTGTTGCGGCACTCTTGATTTGGGGGTTCTTTGATCCACCTATTCATAGCTGTGAAGCGAGCAGAATTTAATCAGGCTCTGACAGGGGATGGTTGATTTTAATACTGGCCTCCAAAAAAGAGCTGTCAATCAAGGATGAGCTTTAATACCTTCAACTTGCAGCTCCTTTAAACTTTTGCTGCAGTTGAGTGGTGCTTGGTCAGCTGTGGAGGAGCCGGGCACCTACAAAAGGTGCTGGGGGCTCCCTGGGCATGCTGGGGGAAGTCCCTGAGGGCTACTCCCTGCCCTCTGTAAAGGTGCAGCATGAAACGTCTAATCAAGTTGGCATTTCCTAGCCACATGAGAGGAGAGATTTCCTCTTTGAATAAGGAGCGGCTTTCATAAGTGCGCATCTCAAAAGGCCTGCTGAGCTTTTGTGAGCCAGCAGGCAAGGCGGGTTTGGAGTCACTTGGATTAAACCTTTCCTTGTTGTAGCTGGAATTGGAACAGTGAGGGCAAGGGTTACTTTCCATATCTAATTTTGAGTTATTTTAGCTGGGGATGTTAGATAAAATAGTCAATGACTGGCAGGATGATAGAATATGGTTTAATTTCAGATTTACTATCTGCCAACACATGCCATTCAATCAGATAAACACAGGATTTCAGCTGTCATTACAGTATCTTATGCATACTTAAAAATAGAGCACTTGTTCAATTTCTTCTTGGTGTGAGAAAAAGTTTATATATAGGAAGTATACAGTCAGGAGGCTAGAAATTTTGAAATAGTCTGCTGCTTTTAGAGAGATTCACTATCTTTAAATTAAGGAATTATACTAGAAGTAGTAGAAATTCTCAAGATTGCAGAAGTTTTATCATTGTCAACTGCACAGAATAAATAAAAGTAAAGGGAACACCTTGAGAAGTGGAACTATATAAAATGAGGGAAATGTCTGTAGTATTTACAGCAGAGAATATAAGACTATATAGAGAGCAAGATGACTCAGAACTTCTCTGCATGGGAATATCATTGCTCCTCTGGTTTATAAGTTTCCATCCTTGCCCTTTTGTCTGTCCTGGTTCACATATTGGGCCTATCACTGTAATGCTTGAATATCTGCTCCGCTTGGGAGGTGGAGATAGAAGATGACAATCTAGCATCACCCCAGCACTATCCTAAACCAATTTTAACAACAAATGTAATTTAAGCATTCACTGTCTAAAGCTTCCCTCCTGAAAACACACAACTTCACTTGGGTAGTAACTCTCGTATACGTAAAATGCGGCACCTCTGGCCACCAGTGCCTTACGTTACAAATTTGTGAGTACACAGATGAGTATGGCTTTTTGGCTTGAGCACTTAACCAGTATTTGGGTTCTTTATTATATCCTTTGTGAAAAGTAGCTGATGACACAGTCCAGCATATTTTTAAGGTCTAGCCTGGCTTGTTTACAAGGGATGCACAAGAACAGCTTGTTTCTGTGAACATCATATGAGCAGATAGCAACAGGCAGTTTTCTTGCTCATAAATCTGCTGATATGCTTGCCCAGCAAGCAGCATCCGCCCAAGCTCTGCCCTGCTGCTTTCTCTCCTACTCACAAGCCTCTTTCTTCCTTAACACCCACATAACCTGTACCTTCAGTCTCATATTTCCTGCCTAGCTTGCTCTTTCAGGTTTGTTAGTCAGCTTTGATTCAGAGATGTTCTTGTTAGTGACTACTAGCATTTTCCAGCATAACCGATTATCGCCTGCTCTCGTTCCCTTCTGTATTCTACCAGGCTGCTCCAAAATGAGCTCTAAAATGATGTCCTGAGCTGCTCAGCATAATGGTATCTTTGAAGCCAAGACTTGTACTTTGCTTTGAAGAGCAGCTCTAACAAAAGGACAGCATTTTCTACTGAAGATAAGGGAAAGAAGGCATTTTTTTTAAGAGCATTCCTCCTGCTGGTTTCCCTGCAGAGGAGAGGCTGGTGCTTTTTCTAGCACGTGCAAAGGTGCTCTTGAGGAGCTCTGCTACAACAGATCAGTTTACTGCCCATGGAGACATGAGGACAGCATAATGCCAGCCAAGATGCTGAATTTCCTATTGCTTGGGCTTCATCCCTTTCTGGTTAAGCTCTCACGCACTTCAGAAAAAAATTGATTACTGGGTTGCAGGTCCCTCAGCTCAGCCATGGGAGGGTCTTTTTGACTTCCACAGCTCCCTCCTGGATCTGGGTTTTGGCTGCAGAGGCAGTTTGTGCTGTGCTGTGCAAACAGATAAAAGAAATAGCAAGGCTAGAGTGAAGTCCAGCACGGGTGTTTTTCAGTCTTAAAGGCTTTGGAATTCTGTTTGGTTTTTATTTTGTTTGGCCTTTTTTTGGTCTCTTTTAGAAAAGCCTTTCACATACAATGATCTCCCAAACAATTTATTTGAAATCATTGGTGGGTGGCGCATACATTATGGGCTGTGGTTTCATTGATATGCTCAGCCTCACTAAGTAGATGGCATATTAAATGTTTTATTTACCCCGTGTGCTACCTGTCATCTAATCAGCTTTTGTTTTTGCTGCATTCTGCTCGTATTATAGCAAGAGTAAGTGGTTTCATGTAAATTAAAACCGCATGAAACCTTTTAAAGCCATTTTAAAATACTAAATGGTTTTGCAAATAGGTTTGTCGGACAAGGATTGGAAAAAGAGCTCTTTGCTTATCCATTTACTCTTTTGTATGCTTATTAGAAGCCTCCCATGTGACTCTTTCATCAAACATTGCATCCCAGTACTCATCTAGAATGCCAAAAGTCATTTATACTGTGCTCAAGAGTGGTTTGCATAAACAAGAGGCAGTTGACAAAGAATACAGTTGTGAGCTGTGATTGCAAATGTTACTTTATAAATTACAACACAGACACACAATAAAGTCAAAACATGCATCCCTGTGATGTTTTCTTGCTTGCCTGGAGCATAAAAGCATGTTGGCTTAAAAGTTTCTTTGCTTTTATTAACTATTATTGCCAATGTTTATGATTGCTATCATTTCACTGTGAATAATTTTGTTTCTTACAGGTGGATCGTATCATCTTCTGCGTCTTTTTGGAGGTTGACTACAAAATTTTCAAGAAGAAAATGGGCGAGTTTTTTCCTCTAGGTAGGTATAGTAATTGAGCGCCATCTGACTTTAAAAAATGATGCAGCAAGAAGACAACAGTTGGCGTCCTTTATTCTTTCCCTGCCTAAGCCAAATATTAAAATGTGAACTTTCTTTAAAGATCAGCTGCTCATAGAGGCTCTGATCCTGGACAAATGCAGACATTTAAAATTTGTGAAACGGTAAAACTGCTTGTGATACTGCTTTTGCAAAGTCAAGGCCTGCTTTTGTATGCTCAGTATAGCTAGTTTCTTCATTCTCTGCTGTATCCATATCTCGTCCCGAAACCTGGTGTGTGGCACTGGGTCTCTTGACTCGCAGAAGAAAATGATTTGCACTAATGTATATAGCTCCTAGTGTGTATTGCTTTTCCATGCTCTTTGTACATGCTTTGCTCTTTCATTAATGATGCTGGTAGGGTTTCTCTGGGTCTGAAAAGATACCGCAGGGGTTAGAGCCCAACTGTGTCTGAATGGGAACTTTAAACTTGAGCTGTCCCTGTGCAAGAATGAATGGGAGAAAGATGGCTCTCACCAGAGCACTTGGGAAATGTTAGCCATTCATCTTACATTTCACACAGGAGGTTACTTTCTAGAATTTAGGAAAACCTGGTGGAAAGTAAATTTGTTAATCCCCCTCTCCCTCCATATGCCTGTGATTTATTTTTATCATATATCATTAGAAATGTGTTCAGTTTTTTATTAACCCTAATCTTCTCCCATTTTATTTTGTTTTCTATGACATCAGTCCTGCTATATGAGGCAAGATCCAGATTTCAGTATTTTGGTTTATCACCCATTTCAGAAGTGGCAGTCACTTAAATACGCCCCACGCCGTCTGTCTGGTGGAAAGGGCCTTTGAGGAACAGAAAGCAGAGCTTTGATGTGGTTTGTTGTGAGTCTCCATTAATTCTACAGGACCATGTTGTCACAGTAGCCACAGTGTTTTCATTTTGCTTTGGCTGGTAGTATGGAAATTGTGATGTTGCTGTCTCATCTTACTAGAACAAAGCATTTTGCAGATGACTTTGTAATCTCCAGTTCGCAATGATTGGCAGCTGAAACTTAAAGACCTATTGAATTATTCAGGTAGCGTAGAATGGTGTCTAACCGCTTAATAATATTTTTGTCTGGAGCACACTGAACATGCATTTCAAAGACTGCATTCATGTCTAATCCATTCATTGTGTGATTATTTTTTTTTTGACAGTGTACCCCAACACATAGCATAAAGTGGCACTACCCTGCCTACTGTTGCTGGCTCTGTCCCTGCCCTTCAGATTAAGTGAGAGTAGACTACAGTGTCAATTTGTCAACAAATTAGAGTATTTAATACTCACCTTCATCGTTAAGGTCTTTGAAATCATGGATTAAAGCCTGGTATTGTTATAAGTGTAAAACCCACTTGGGTTTGAAAGCCTGAGAGACAAGAAGATGCTTCAAAGTTGAAGGATGGCAAGCCCAAAGGGGAAAAGAGACTAAGATGGGAGATTTATTTCTTTTTTGGGCTTTTCAAAACCTGACATTGTTGAACTCCTGTCTACAGCGGACCTGTGTGGTTGGGTGTCATGTTATATAAAGACTTGTAATTGCATTACACCACATTATGTAGATGATCAGTTGTACCATAGTTTTAAAAGTATGTTTATTCTCATGCATGGAAAATTTACAGGTTTTTTGCTTGAATTAAAACTGGGAATTTGATATGTGACCATAGAGAGGTGGTCATAGTGGGGACCCTCTAAGGTGCAGCCAATCCAGTGGTTTGCAGGTATGTGACTATGCAAAAGGTTGATCCAGTGGTTACAGAGACAGCTGTTCAGAGAAAGATGTTTTAGTTCTCAGCAGCCACAATTTGGTATAGATTGCTAAAAGATCTTAGGACACATTTTCATAGGCTCCCTGCTGCAATTTTCTTATAACTAATGATTCTCAATACCAGATTTGATATGCCTTAATGATGCTGGTTTCCAGAAGGACCTGAGCACCTGCTGGCTGGTGAGCTGGAGCTTTAAAAGGAACTAGTTTAGCATCTGAAACTTTATCCCTGACTCAGTGAAGGATTTCCTATGGTTAGGTCAGGAGTCAGTGATTCGGAAGATCTGATTTTAATGCCTTGTATCACCACGGACGTTTGGTACGCCTGTACAGGAATCACTTAGATCTTCAGCTTGTGAGGAGGCAGGAAGGACATGTGCTACCCAAATGACTCTCCATTAGTGTCCCTGGAGAAATGATCAGTGTCTGTGTCTCTCTCCTGGAGCGGTGCCCTAATGATTAATATACAGTCTCAGGCTTTCACTGCTGTCTTGAATGGACACTTTTCCACAGGGTACCACAACTTCAACAGATGTCAGCTGAAGTCATCCCCATCCTAAATTGCCTGTAGCCTGCTGGTGAGAACATCAGCTGAAGGTCTGGACAGTGATCACCAGATGACTATCATGTCTGCTATTTGTTCCTTTTTTCTGGTCTCTTGTGAATTGCCATCTGCATTTAACATAGTAGACTTTGACGAGTTATCAGCAGACTCTCCTACTGTAGGGATGTTCCATCTCTCTGCAGGATGGGTTTCTTGCACAGAGGACTTAGTCAACATGGCTCTGTGTCAAGGAATTAGCAACTGTCTCTACCTTTGACAATAAATTCCTGATATTTAGACTGTGGAAGGAATTGCCAAAACTCTAGTGGTTTGGTTTTGTTTTTAAGTGAATCTATTAACGTAGTGAAATGAAAGTCTTTAAGGATAGACTTGCCCAAAATTTAAATTGATAGGACACTATCTGAACACTCGCAGGAGAGAATAACACTGATTATATTGCTTTAAGCTTAGAGAGAAAACATCAAGACATTTTAAAAGTGTGTCTCGCATTCAGAAACATTATGAATTACATCTACTTTAGTAGATGTGGACAAAAATGCTTAGAAAGAAGAATATAGTCATGGAGTTATATACATAAATAGTTATTACTTTAAACCCAGTGCATTAATAAATCCAAAAAGACATCCAAGTGCTTGAGCTAGTCAAGTGATAATGAAATGAAGCTAGAGTTACACCTCAGTGCATTAGAGTAAGTGGAATATAGATATAGGGAAATGGTTCCATTAGTCGAACATATCATTAGGCCTATTTTGCGAGTGGAATGCCAAAGAAATTAGTCGAGTAATAGTACTGATATTAAGACAACTGCCAAGAGCCTTGTCATTTGCAAACTTTAAATATATAGGGGGAACAGGCAGACTTCTAAGTAATTTCATATCTTAGGAGTGTAGCAAAGCTGTTCAGTAACAGACCAGTTGTCACAGTCTCAATGTTTCTGATTTAATCTCAGTAATCAGTAGCCTGTACAGAACCTGAGCCAAAGCCAGCATGCTCTGAGGGGGAGCGCCACTTAATCTTTAACTCAGATTTAGGATCTCATCCTAGTGGTTGTCCAGAAAAGCACTGGTTTAGAAAGTAAAAGGTCCTGGTCCATGCAGAATTTTCTGTTGAACCTCTGGAGTTTTGCTGAGAAGTTTTTGTATGTCCCGGTAGAAAAAGAGCGAGGGTGGAAGACTGTTTTGATAGAACAACCAACGTTCTGTGCTTAAGATTGATCACTGTTTTAACATATTAGGTGCAACAAACAGTGATTTGATTTTTTTATTATTATTTTTTTTTTCTTTTTACCAATTGAGTCCTATGTCCTAGTGGAAAGAGACAGCCCAGGCATTCTCCCTTCACCTGTGTTGGGAAATTCTCTCTGCTAAATCTGAGAGAATAGAATGTCTTGCTACATCTCTTTCATGCAAATAAAATACCTTTGCCTGCAGTTCTGGCTCAGATGTGTAGTTCTTACATTGCTGGATTCATTACTAGTATTATGAGTGAGCTTTCCGGGAAAGGAGCTGATATACTATTTTTTCTCTTGGAATTCGTTGTTTCTTCTAACAGAATTCTGCATGGAGCGTAGATACTAGGCATTATGCTTATTGCTAAATATATATATATTTATAAGACTGGCCAGGAAATGGTATAAAAATAGTCCCCCTTGGAAAGCTAGATTTACCAATATTTACCTTAGAGTGATATGTACTTCTAGGATGCTATTCGTAGAAGTAAAATTAACAGTATTTGTAAACAGTTGCCAGCTGAGGGCAAAGATACCTTTTTTTTTTTCCCCTCCTGTGTACTGTGTATACCTAGCTACTTAATATGTCAGATAGATAATCTTGTAAGGACCTTTAGCAAATGCTTATTTTTCATGGTGGCTGTTGTATATTATGAAAGGTTTATCTTAAATTGTAATGCTTAAAGTATTTCTAAATCTACCACCTGTTATCAGTGGATTGGAGAGGGGAATAATTTTTTCTGAAAATGTTCTTTAGGCAAAAATAATGCTATAAAGGGTATGTACAGTGAAGCTGCAGCATTCAAGGTTATATTACATTCTCACTACTTTAAACAGAGTAATAAAATTACTTCACTAAAGCATTGCTAAAATTGTTAGAGAGAGGACAGGTTTGCACTTTTATTAGACCACTTGATAGATGGAAGATGCAAGCTTTTAGACTCCATGTCCTTTCAGAGCTAATGAAAGGATACTGAGCCCGAGAGCTTGTTCATTTATTTTGAGCCATATCAGTTGGTGTTAGGAAAAAGAGAGAGAAATTGCTTCATCTTGAAAAAAGTTTCTTTCCCCTTTGTTCCAGGTTATGACATTTAATGCATTTTCTGCTTTTATCCTAGTTGACGAAAACACTGTCTCCCCTACCTAAAGCATAGGGATTAGAACTACTGTCTTATATTAATCCTCCTGTTACTTCAGGAGGATGCACAGCATCCTAGTTGTGCATAAATGTGCAAATATATTACAACTGCAGAGGAAATTCATTGTTAAGAGATCTACCAGGCTTGGAATCAAACTGGAAATTGTCTAAATGGCTGAATGAAGGGCTTTGTATTAAAAAGGCAGATCCCTGCACTAATACGTGAGTGAACTCTTAAGCAGAGATTGTAAT